CTAGTTGTGTTAGCCACTTGTTCAGGTCACCACATTTTCCATTTTTTTCTCCATGTTTCATTTAACCGCCTGGTTCAGCATTGCTTTAGTGTCCCTGTTCCTATTGCCCGTATGAGCACTAGATTTGTCAAAAACGCCTAGATTTGTCCTACGATGCTTAAAAGAATAGTTTATGTACCTTTTTCCTTCACAGCATTTTTTGTTCTTTGTAATTTTCCCCCACCTCTGCGTCCATGCTATATATGCATAGAGAAAGGAACATATTCCGGTTTTGATGCTACCTCCATTTTGCCCCCCTTTTATTGGAAATGTCTTCCACATTGTTTTTCCTCTTAATAGTCTGCTTAGTTCCTTCCTTAGCGCTTCACTGCGCCAACATGATGAATCCGCACACAATAAAAGATGTAGATTTTGAAATAACGTACGAACCGCATAGCAGGCAACTGCAGGTTGCCAGCCTAAACCAGGAAAAGTGCAACAACTACAGCTACTACATAAATCAGCAGTGTCAAATAATTCACCCTCTAGACAAAGTCGATGATAAAAATGTGCTCTTGTGTACAAACAAAAACAAATGTGAGTACCTCACAAATTATGTGTTCCAAATCCTGAGCATAGAAACCGTCCCAGAAGAAGACTTCTCAAATTTAACTCCGCTACTTAACGCAAAAGTTGCGGAAAAAGAAAAATGCAACAAGGAAGTGCAGCTAAATGAAAAAATCAAATGCATGTGTTGCATCAAAGAGATGGACAGCAGCGACACGGAAGAAATAAATGACGAATTAAACCCAGCGCAAATAACCCAAAACGCTAGGTACCACTTCAGTGAGTGCAAATGTATCCAAAAATATGAAGTAGACAAAGAACACACCTTAAAAGCCAATAAATGTGAAAACTTCATCTGCAATAGTGGGTTGTGCACACTGCGTATGGATGGAGAACCCGTCTGCTCCTGCGAGGAGAGCCATTATTTCGACGAAAGAGTTAATGCGTGCGTCATGCATCAAGATGAGTTGAACGGCGAGCAGAGCCAGGTAAGTCAGGCGGCCATGGAAGAACTGCGCCATGTAACATATGAGAGCGACTTGAACGGAAACGAAATATACGACGATCATAAAAAAGAGGACCATACCCCGCGATTTAATGATAACCAAGATGACAACAGCGATACGCATTCTCATCAAGCGCAAGGAATCGCAAATAACCACGACAATAGACACCCGAGCAATGCGTTCGCCGATGAGTGTCCAATAAATCACGTGAGAAATAAACAGGGTGAGTGCCACAGGGAGGAAAAAAACTCAGTCGATAATGTTTGCCTTAGAATAGAATGTTTCGTCAATTCAGACCCACCAGAATGCGCATGTGTAGATAAAAATGGGCAAAAAATAGAAAAAGATATCTTAGACCTTTCCCACATAACAATGTGCACCCTGAACAACATAAACTGTGACTACGGGACATGCAATAACTCAACCAAAAAAGGAGAACTCGCATGTATATGCAACAAGAAGTATAAATATAACAACTCTCTTAAGGTGTGCATTGGTTATGCCCCAACACGTCTTATCAGTTGGGTGCTCATTATCGCGCTGTTCGGCATAATCGCAACTGCGCTGTGAAGTGAAGAAAAGAGTTAAATAAATGGGTTTCCATTCCCTTCCCCTACACTAAATAACCCAATTAAATAACTCACATGAAGCTACGTTATACCCATGTAGGGTATCCACACTTGGTATCATTTCGTTCCTTTTTTTATTTTTTAAAAAAGTTGTATCCCCCAAAATGTATAGCTCCCCAAGGTTGGGAACTAATAAACGAGGAGGAAATTACCTCAGGAAGGCGTATCACACCTCGGCAAAAAAAAAAAAAAAAAAAATGGAGCAAAGAAATATGCATATTCCATGTCCAGGGGAGGTAAAAGCATGCGTTATAGGCCTCCCTGGAAAAACACCCCTTTTAAACATGCATTCCATTTACATTCTTTTTTTTTGCAAGAACTTAATTCCCCTGGGTGATGTTATTCATCACACAATTAACAATTGTTAATTTTTGCCGCACTTGTTCATACCCAAATGAATAAATGTTTAAATGTCGAAACATCGAAAATGTGGAAAGCACATTTGGCATGCCAAGAAAAAAATATTGTTCTTCAGTTATTTTTAATTCTTAATAATTTTTTCTTAAACAAACAAATCCGTTTTGTTGTTCTCCCCTGTTTGAACAAGAAACACCTTTAAAAATATTTGTTCCATAAAAAGTGAAACAAGGTAGACACTTTGTCCACATGTCAAAGGCACACTGCAACGCTTGACAAGCAAAAATGTTCGACCTTACATTCAGTGTAAACATACTACGGCTTACTGTAGTCTACTAGCCATTTGCCTATGAAGAGCGCACAAATAGACTAACCACCTGCTCATAAGTGCACTAGAAGGAAGAAGATACAAAGCAGAGGGGTATCGTTATGCGGTCATGTTGTAAAGAATAAAGAAGAAGATTTTTTTTTAACTTTACTATCATTTTAGGGTTACACAACGTGCTTATTTTAATTTCCTGCCCCTTCTGTAGTTGTCCTATTTAGCAAAAGTTCTAAGATGAGCTTATGATGCCGCTATAAAATTTGCTCTATTATATTTGCATTTCCCCTAAACAGGAACATTAGTCCTGAAGCCTCTTAATTGTTCTCTGCCCAAATTATATACCTCACATTGAGCACAGGAAAATGCAAACGACTAAATAAACCTGTTAACCCAAAAAAAAAAAAAAAAAAACATTTAGGAGGCACCAAAAAAACGATGTGCACTGCTCCATCATGTCACATTAAAAATCCTAAACATTTAACCCTTTCAATAAAAGAAAGTTTGCTCAGCGAATAACAAATATTTTCAACGTATTTATCTGTCATTTGTGCGTACCCAAGTTATCTGCTAACGCTCTTAATGATTGCTCTTATTCGTTAATAAGATGTGCACCTGTATTGTGTTTTTACCCGTTTCCATAACGCAGCAACGAAATCATAATAACTCCCTATAAAATAACATAGCCTAAAACTTCAACGTGGCTCAAAAAAGTGACCAAGTTCCCACCCCTTAAAGATATTCCTTAAATTCCTTGCATGGAAAATATATAATAAATATGAATACATATGTTTGTGCAGTTCCGCATAAGATATCTTCCATGATCCATGCGAACGTGGAATAAATGTCCTCTTTCTACTTCTAAACTTGTGGGCTTTCTGCATGTTAACCGTGTTTACCTTACCCCCCGCTTAAATCCACATGAAAGCGACCACATGAGCCGCTTGGTATGTGCACGCTGCTTATGAAGACAAATCCGACGCAGATGGTGATCGAGTCGAAAAATGAAGAATACCTCCCTCATGTGGTCTCTTCTTCCTTTTAATTTACCAAAAAGGGGCGTTCAAATTGGGAACGTTAAAAATGGGTCACCCGCACGGTAACCTCTGTGGTGATGGGACCAACGTCATGGTTCGAGCGCAAATAGGCAAAGGTCAAAACGTTATTTTCCCCATTCCACTAATGACATATATATGTTGCCACAGGTGCTATACTCACCTGCGAAGAACAAATGCAACATTTCGTTTTCTCTTTTCTTATTTAAAATAAGTCTTACATGAACCGAACGTGCGCACATGATCAGTCCCATGACTGAGGCAAAATGGTAACGACAACTTTCCTATTTTTTAAAGGAGCAAAATTGCCCTACCCCGCGGGTATAAATCTTAAATTTGGTTTCAATTATATAAGCAGGTTGGGGGTTCAAAAATTTTCTTCAAAATTATGGCAAAGCTGATTAATATGAATCCTGAAAACGAAAAAAAAAAAAAAAAAAAAGGGAGAAAAAATTGGGCGAAACCATTCGTTTTTCTCAGAAGGAATGCATACATTATTATATATATGACCCTAAACCCAGGTGCTGAAAACGTAAAAAAACTTGCAAAAAAATGCGGGAGCCTGTGCTTACCTGTTCTCATATATGCAGCTTAAACGTATGCTTATAACACGACTGAAATACAAAAATGGGCATGGGGCGCGGCATACCGTTACAGCCTCTTCGTGTTCACGGTATTTGCAGGAAGGAAGAAAAAAAAAAATCTACAAATATCATATTGTCAATAAAAAAAAAAAAAATTAAATTAATAACGTATTTAAATAGCCAGAGAAGGAAATATAATGATGTTTTTTCAGTAAAACAAAAAAGTCTCATTTGCCCCAAGCGGAAGAATAATTAAAATTGAACCATTAACGTTAAAAAAAACAACCAATGCGTTTGTTTTGTGCGCGAGAAGAGCTTCCATTATACGTGCATTTTTACATTTGCGTATTCATATATACGTACAACGTATCCAATAACAGTTATACAATAACTTTCTCTTCTCCTTCGCCTTCATCAATTGTTCATCGTCACCAGTAATTAATTACGCGCTTATAAAATTAACAACTGTAAAGTATTTTAAAAAAAAAAAAAAAAAACATGGAGAAAAAAAAAAAAACAGTACATATAGTACTATCTTGCAAAAGAGTTCATGTTTAATGATATATTTTTATATATATCGTTGGCTCTAGGACAAAATATATAGTATTTGTATATGAGTTTACATTAGAGTGCATATGTAACAGTGTAAACGAATAGGAGCGGGCTCATTCAAGTCATGGTACTGCTTACCCTTTATAGGAAGTATGCTTTAAGTACTTACATACTTATGCACATATGTCAGCTTCTTAATTTAAAGGATGCTTTTAATCCATACTCACCTCCCACTGCTTCCATCAGTTTCTAAAAAGGAAACTCATTTATCCATTTTTCATCAAGTACACTCTTTCATTTTCCTTTGTGTCAATTTTTCTTTTTACTTTTTTTTTTTTTTTTTTTTTCCTCGCACCTGAACCCATCATTCGCTATCATATATATATGTATAGCCCCTTCCCACAAACGTCCACATTCCTTGTGTACAATTTTATCTTTAATTGTAAAAAGCGTATACACATTTTTTAAGTAAATTAACAAAAATGAGTTATAAAGATGATAGAAGGCACTCTGAAGAGCGCGATCATGAACGGGACTATGACAGGGACTATAACCGAGACTATGACCGGGATCATGACCGGGATCATGACCGGGATCATGACCGAGACCGTGACAGGGACCACGACAGGGACCACGAAATGGATCACAAGAATGATGGTAAACCGAACAAACTGAGCAACATAAGACGATGGTGCACCGCGCAGTGTGTTTTGCACCATTTGATATGCGCCATGTCTGTATGTGTAGCGTGTAACTGTTTATGCTGCTCCTGCATAGGCACATAAAAACCGTGTGTACGTTACTATGTACCACATTTGCGCTGTGTTGGGTTCGCGCTGTACACCTCTGACGAGACGCACGTCTAAAACGTTTGCTCAATTTACACGTCCAACACAACACTCACCACTTCCCCTCCCAAAAGGAACAACCCTGTATGTGTCAAACCTAAGCTCAAAAATAACGACATCCAGACTGCAAGACATATTTGAAGAGTACGGGACGATAGAAAAGTGTTACGTCATAAGCAACCCCATCACCAGGTAGGGAATATCCAACACCCCGTCGCAGTTTCCGGTTCACCCCTTGTACGTGGACTTCCTATATATAATGTAGCCTCCATTTTGTAGTACATGCAAGAAGAAACTCGAATCTTAAATAACTTCCCCTAAATGTTTCTTCCCATCCCTCAGAGAATCCCGCAACTTTGGATTTGTAACTTTCAACAATCCCGATGACGCGAATAACGCCATGATCAAGGCCAACAAAATGGACATTGAAGGTTATTAATAAAAACGAATACATGTGCATGCACTTTGCATGCTTCATATCTGAGTATTATTGTAATCGGAGCGAAGCAAACAGGGAAAAAATAAGCAACATAAAGTAAAAAATAGTGCATCATAATATATTAAAAGGTAGTAACATCACTGTGCTGTAATATTGATCTTGAAAAAAAAAAAAAAAAAATATATTCCAATAAAGGAGTGGCAACCTTTAATATATACGCGAACAACTAAAAAGATATGCATGAATATGGATATCACTCATCTACAAAGGAAATAAGCTCCATAGAGGAACTTTCCCCCAAAAGACGTTATTGCTAAAATGATTGCCAGAATACAGACAATCCATAAGCATACATATATTATACACATTCCCAGAAATGACTACCCCAGTAATGTTGTTAAGGTTCCTTTCCCCTGCACAATATAAAGAAATTGCCGTTGTTCAAACCCTTTCCCAGTATGCATTCGATATGTACTCAATTCACACATATGTATGTCTAAACATTTGAAAGAATACTCTTGGAATTACTGTCAGCAATTGCAGCCCTGCGGCCATACAAATCTATATCAATTTGAACAAATTTAACCACGTTTATATTCCCGATACGAGCAACCATCCTCATAACAGAAAATCGAATTCGAAAATAAAACGTATCCTTTTTCCTCCCTTACAAAATTGTCATGCAAAAACATTACGTACAAAAAAATGCCGACAATGTGTTTCCGAGTTTTGACTCCATCATGTGTACCCCCATTGCATAAATTTGAACATGTGGAAAAGATGCAACTTTGAAATGTTACTTCTGCCTGCACATTTACCCTCCCAAAAAAAAAAACAAAAAAAAAAAAAAAATACAAAATTCCCGCGCTTCACAATATCCGTTACAAACATGCATACGTCCCACGCCCAATGCTGGACGTATTTATAAATGATATCAAAAAAAATTATCAGCAAACAAATGAAATAAACACAATAATTATCGAATTTTTTTAATGATAGGACGTATTATTAACGTAGAAATAGCCAAGCGAAACGAGCCACACGATCCAACCCCAGGAGAGTACAAGGGAATTCAAAGTAAGTACACCGTTCAAGGGACATCCTAGGCATGTTAGCATTAGCATACGAACCGCTACTTTATATGTCTTAGCTGCCATGGCTATCACGTGTATACTCGATTTAGGAAGTGCTCAATCTATTTACGAATGGATACGTTTGTAACCACATCAAACGCCTTTGGAAAACTTGCCCCGCCCACAAAACAACATGGATCATTTTTTTTTTTTTTCCCTCCTCATTTTTGCTCCCAAAGATATGATGAAAAGAAACGGAATGAGGTACGATTTTTATGGCAGAAGATACGACAGACCATTTGACAGAAGAAGATACGACTCAAGAAGGTAATTCGAGTTATTGAGTGGAGTGTTCCACAGGGGGGAAAAAATTTTTTCCTACATCAAACGTCACACTCCGTTGACTGTTTTATGCACAGGCACGCTTTTATGCGTACCCCTCGTGGTAACACTTTTTGTGTTCCTCGTATTGTAAGATCCTCTTGTCCAAGTGGTCCATAATTGGGGAAAATATCATTCCATTTAGCAATCACGTTTTTGGAACCCGCTTTGTTATCAGTTTCTTCCCCTTTGTACACTGACGTGATGGAGCGGCCCCTATGTACGTATATACCCAAACATTGATGACTGTCCCCCTTTTTCCCCTACCCCTGTGTAGGCCTTACCCATACTACCGAGACCACGGCCAAGGTTTCGGCTACCATCGCAATAACGGGTACAGACCTTACGACAGATATGGAAGGAATGCATATGATGACCATCGACCTTACGATCGAAGATCCATAGATGATAAGTACTACAAGAGAAATGATTATTACAAAAGAAATCCCAGGAATAGTCATGATGAGAGGGATCACTCCAGGGATGATAGTAGAAGAAAGAAACGATATGAACGAACTAGAAAGTCAACTAGTATTTCCAATAACGAGAGGAGACACTACAGGAATAATTCTTCCGTAGAAAGGTTAGACCATTAATATGAGACAATTTGTTGCCCGCGGGGTGGACGGGGAGGCGGGAGCCGCCGTCCACACACTAGAAACATGGACAAATCAGTGCACACGCCAATGTTGTAAATGGTCTTTTCTCATTTATATTTGTTAGTACAAGCAAACGCACGTCACATATATTATTGCTCTTATCCCACCCCCTTGTAGAAGCCCCCACCACAGAAGGTAGTGAAATCAGAACAGAAACAAATTGTGGACAGCATACCAAAATATTTGTAAACTAAAACCTAACATCCAGATTATTCTTCCCGAAATAATAGAGATGGTTTCATATTTTTATGTATTTTAATCCCATGACAATTTTTTTTTTTTTTTTCCAAAACAAATAAATCAATATGTTTGAATGTTCATAAAAAATCAAATTTTTAAGTTTTTAAATATAAGTACGAACAAACACACACCGCACACACACACACACAAAAAAAAAAAAAAAAAAAAACATATATATTATATATAGCTGAACAAATGAATAGCAATTGTTTTCATTTCTTAATTCTCACGCATGTGTCGTAAATTACCAAAATTTTAAAAACAACATAATGATACAAATGAACCACTTCAACAGTCACAGCCTGGTTTAAGAAAAAAAAAAAAATATATATCAAAATCAACTTATCTTGGTCGCTAAATATAATCATCATCGTATCTCCACCTTTTTAACAACTTCTTGTAACTAAGAGAAAGAGAAAAGAAAAAAAAAAAAAAAGAGAGAGGCATACAATGTGGTAGAGCGTGCCAGCAAAATGCGACAGCGGAATATGCACGTCAAAACACAACACATGAATCAAAAAATGCACAAAAAACGCCAGTGCTGCATGGGCACTTCCATAAATGAGTCCGCAAAAGGGCCAGGACAGTGCAATGCATTTCCCACTACGAATGTACCCTAAAAAATGAAAATCAAAAATAGCGCAAACAAAAAACAAGACGATCAAAAAACGATCGAAAGACGAACGAAAAATGAGCCCAAAGCAAAACAGAACAAGGCTTAAACGCATCAGCCCAGCAATTACTTCTTCATTTTTTTCCATCGTTACCTAAATATTTTTACAGGTAGGTCAGCTTTTTGTCTGCAATAATTCTCGCACATTTGCAACCACGTCATGAGTTCTTCCCTAGTCCCCGCTCTGTATATTTTCGCACGCGTATGCGTCAGACGGTAAAGGAGGAATAAAGTCATATGTACAGAATCAGGCTATTAAGAGTGAAACATTTAAGCGCAGAATACGAAACGAGGAAAGGTCAACTCGCATGGGTGGTTGATAGAAGGATCGCACAGAATCAAACACACAATATATGAAGCACATGCAAAAGCTGAGGTAGTGGCAACGGCACCATCACCAAAGCACACCATACAATTCGTTACCTGACGGGATATATTTTGGAAAATTCAAGGAAGCAGTTTTTCCCCTTTCCTTTTATACACTGTTCAGGGAAATTTGAATAAAACGAATGAACATATTCCCGCTCAGTGTCCGAGAATTTTTCGTTTAAGTAAGACGCGAATACCCAAAACAAAAACCACTGTGCGTGGCATGGATGTTTAACTTCATTTGAATTCAAGCTTTCATCAAACATGTAAAAATTCTCTTGCTTTATTTTTTCTATTTCGTTATTTTGTAAATGTTCTCCCGAGCTACTTGGCGCAGCTGTTTGTGACAAACTCTGCCTGGTTTGCTCATCTGTCTTTTGCCACTTGTCCCCTTTTGACAGTCGGCCGGAAGGGAACCGGCCATTTTCCTTTTTTTTGTTTTCATCTTCGTAATGCTTTGTCTCATCTGCAACATTTTTTTTTTTATCATCACTTTTGTAAAACACTTTCGATGCTACTTGGTTACCCATAATGCCGTACTAGCATCCTTAATCCCATTGGTGATTAAATAACACCACCACGAAGAAAAATGAGGAGGAATGACGCAGTGACACACGCAGGCTCTGGTGTCGTCAGTACAGCAGACAAATCGCCGTCACTATATAGGCTGTTCATGTACCCAAGTGGAATCTTCTGCTTCAACCACTCCAGCGTTTGCAGAGAAACTACCAGCAGCTACGCGCCGTTGCATATACATATACGCACGTATGGTCATATATATATTTGCGCGTCCTACTTTGATGGACTTCTCTTTTCTTCACCTCGTTAGACCTTGCACTGCTATTCATTTTATGGGTTAACGATGGACTCACTATTTCCCCTCCCTTCTTTCTCCAAAAAGACCTGTAATTAGATTTCACACTATATCATGAAATTCCGTGTGCGTAATATTTTGCGTGTTATCTTCTGGGCGTATGAAAAAAAAGCAGCACATTTCTAACTCCTCAAAATGTAAAGAGTACTACGCATTTACGACACATCTCACTGCTACCCCTCCTAGGGTATACACAATCACAGTATAAAAAATTGCGTGACCCTTTGCGTGTTCTCGCGATATAGAAAAGTAGCACACCTGAAAGAAACTAAATAATCGTTTCGGTAACAAGCAGTTGGAATAGATTCACAATTATGAGTCATTCGAATTGCAGAGAGGCGTTGGGCAACATGCCAACTCGCCAAAATGTACTACATTTTTTTCGTAATTACCGCTCAAGCAAATCAGCTAGGTAAACAAAATGCACAAAAGTGGAGGGCCCTCAAACTTCATCCTTTAAGGAACAAGTCGTGCAGTTTTTTCTTCCTACAATAACAAAAAAAAAAAAAAAAAAAAAAAAAAAAAAAGAGGGAACCCCACTTTTCGGCTCGCTCTAACTAACAATTGTGCTACGACCACGTAGGAAAAATTGAGTTGGCCCCCCAAAAAAAGGGATACAAATAAGCATGCCCAAATTGATAAATATCCTCGTTCAACACGCATGAAACACTTGAGAGTTCTGTGTATGAAAAAAAAAAAAAAAAATCCTCGATGTAACCCCACTTGTAAAAGATGCAAAGAAAGAAAACAAAGGGAGTTTCACTGTGTACACGAAAATGCATTGTGGTAGAAAAGTTTTCACACATTAACGAGAAGTCAATGATGCGTAAGAGCAATGGTGAAAGAGGAACGACTGAATAAGAAGAGACTTATTATTGCAAACAGATACCTTGACCCCTTCGCCAATACCATCCCCCCATCGACACATTATGACCACTTCACAAACAAACTAACAAAAGCGATCAACCCTATCACACAATGCTTTTAGTAAACGCAAGTGCCAGGATCAGATATGCTGTGAATCTCACCCTATTCTTTTTCTTTACAAAAATAATAATTTGCATTTTGTGTAAACATAACAGTACCCTACGCAGTAGCAACATTTTCCGCCATAAGAACAAAAAAATATTCCAAGTAGACCTCGTCCGAGCTCAGAAAAAAATTCCCAAGTGTGCAACCTTTATCTATTTTAATAGTCCATACAAAAAGATAGACGTCACACAAAAAGAATATAAACTCAATGATGACTTGAGGAACATCATCCTTCTGTTTGGGAGAATTGCTGAGCCCTATTACCCCAAGACAGCGGAACAGTTTAATTTTTACAAAGAACCCTACAGTAAATATATCCATACAGGTGAAAATCCAAGTTGCACAAAATGGAAACACGTTTTTAAGGATCACAAAAAAATTAATAAAAATATTTTCCATGAAAAAATTTGCCAATTCAAATTTAAGTGGCCAATTGACGAAGATGAAAATATTGCAGAAAATAATTTCTACAATTTCGTCATAGAAAAATGCCTGAATAACATCAACATTGTAAAAAATAATATACACCATTTAAAGCTCCTTCTCACCAAAGCCATAGAAAGTAAGAAGGAACCTGCAGGGGGAGGAAGCAAACAGGGCACCCCAGCCGAGGAACGAAGGAAACTCTTCCTCCATAATTTGTACGACGCACTGGAGAAAGAATTCTTCAATGAATATGAAGACACCGGGCGTGGAGAAGGACAGAATGAGGGACAGCAACGGGACCCCCTCGAAAGAGAAAGACGTAGGAGGCAAATCCTGGAAAAATTAGAAAACTTGCATTTAAACGATATTTTTAAGCAACACAACAGATCTTACACAAGACTCCTCGTTAACGAAATTTTTAACAAAGAATATCCATCCAAAAAAACAACAGATTTATTCCTTCATTTACTTTTCCAATCAAATATTGAAGAATTTTCTTATGAACAATTTATAACCTGCCTGAACAGGCTAGGAAAAAAAATTGAACTTTTCACCTGCAACTACAATTCCAACATTAACTTTGATCACTTTTTCTTTCTCATGAAAAATGAATTTAAAAAAAACTCTATTCAACTGAAAAAAAAAAAGGCGTGTCCTGCAAAAATTGCAAAAACGAAAAGGGATTACAGTAACGACCCAAGGAAAAGCATAACTGCGCAAAAAAACAAAACGAGACTTATCCAACACAGACATAACAGTGTAGCAGAATGTGGGAAGAAAAAGAGGAAACAAAATTCGCTTATTATGCAGCATGATCCCATCAGCAACCAGTTTAATGACACACAATGTAATGTCAAAAATGAAGATCAGTTGCACGAACTCGAACGTCTGGATACTCGACAGGCAAATTTTATAACTCCTTCCACCTTGAACACCCATGAAAATGAAAAGGAAGGTAAAAAAAAAAACACCGATGGCATGCAGACCAATTCCCAAACCGTGGGTACCAACCTCAAGAGCACAGTTATTCGGCTATTTAACTACATCGTCAACAGCATAAAAAACATGGCTTCCAATGGGTAAGCACACAAATATGGCTTTCTCTTTTTTCACCCATAAGCGCATCAAGGGATGCCTTGCAACCAAATGGAGAAATACCTTCACATTTTGGCGAAGCTACCTCAGGTTATCAATACACCCAAAGGTATTACACACATTAGAACTTCGCAACAGTGCATTGATAGGAGGCTATGCTCATTCCTTGCCCGTGCGTCGCCTTTTTTTTTTTCCTTCTTTTTTTTTTTTTTAAAAGTGCTCTACAAATTTCATAAGTACATTATCTAATTTGTAGAAATTTCATGCACACCATAGTTTGTCGCACACCGTTCTGCAAGTTCCTCACGAAGAGGCTCTTGTCGACAAGGTGATTCAGAGTCCCCTTCGAAATGTTCTCGTTTTTTTTTCAATACACCCATAGTGCAACAAAAAAAAAAAAAAAACACCCTCTGACGCCCATTTGTTTTTTTGTTTCTTCTTCACCTAAACAGTGATACAATTTCGCGTAAACACCATTCCCTTCTCCCATATGACCATAGAAATTGTATGTTCGTGTGAAACACCATTTTAATACACTTCACACATGATGCTCAGCTTTATCGCCCTTGTTTATGTCTATAAAAAAACAAACACACCAAAGCGTTAGCCTCAATTAAGGAACAAATCCGCGCTAAGTGGAGTAGAAAATGTCTGTTCTTTCCTTCGCATTGATTTAAAAACGAAAACTCTTTCAAACATCCGAGTGAGGATAAATGTTTTACCGCGCTAATTCGTAAGGTAGGATACGAGTCGGATTAATATAGGAGGAATTTTTTTTTTTTTCTGTTTTTTTTTTTTCCTGGCCATCTTACGCGTTGATAAAAGTTAAGGACACGAACCGATTCCAAAATAGGAAAAAAAAAAAAAAAATTCTAATGATTGGAATTCTTTTTTTTCCCTCACTTTTTCAACCATGTATGCGAGCTTCTTCGCACAGCGAATATTACCAGTTCATTTTAAAGCTCCCTTGATCTGCAAAAAGGAAGAAACAAGTAATTGGTAAGAAGTGGTACACCCTCCCCGCATGTGAACAATTTTGTATGGCTATACGATTTTGTATTTTCTTCTTCTTGGCCACTAACAGAATTGTCTCAACATGAGCAAAATGAACAGAAACGTGTGATTTTTTTTTTTTTTTTTTTTTTCCCCCACCGTCCCCCCAATTGGTATTCCCTTCCAAAACACAACGAATTAGCACATTACGTGTAAACATTTCACCCTCTCTGTGACCCCCTTGTGTCAAACCATATGGTCACCGTTTAAATACAAACACGTGGGTAGTCCCTGTTGCACGTATGAACATACACATGTCCATGCGTACCACTCCAGTTTTGAGCATTCTGCCCCCTTTGAACGTAAGGCAAGGAAGACATCCTAAACACTAGGCACCACTTGTCCCCTCTCAACAGATCATTCAGCATGTATTTTTCAATCTAGTTTTAAAATTGCGTCCTGCGGATTAGGAGCGCCATTCCATTATTCGTTTTATTTTTCCCACTTCTCATCCGAATAGCACTGCGCGTGTGCATATATATATATCTGCCCCATCTAACCAACTCGTCTCATCACATGCAAAAAGCAATACAGAAAAAATGCTGGGCAAATTCATCTCCGAAACATACAACAAAGTGAAAAGCAAAGCAGATGAAGTGAGATTGCACGTAAGCGTTCAGGCAATTAAGGCAAAGGAAGTTTTCGGACTCGTCAAACCAACAACTGTGGAGCAACTGGAAGTTTTACTAAACTATGAGTTGCAACAAATAGACACAGCGGAATCCTTAATAGAAACATATAAAAAATGGATATACAATTTATCTCAATCAGAAAAAAGTGACGCTATAAGGTACTACAAAACTGTTAATCGGGCCAACGAAAAGAGGGACTCAGGAAACTCGACCATCCCTTCCTTCACCAACAGCAACGAAGAACAAAAAGATAACACCTTCCAAGTGAAAAGAAAAAGCGAACTTACCTTATCAAATAGCAACATCACTAGTGCTTGTAACAGTGACCTAGTTGATCCTTATGACTCCTACTGCAATAGCGAGGAAGAACATGCAAAGAGGGAAACAAATCTGGATGTACAAGATCAAAATAATACAGGAATAGCCACTGAAGATAAGCTAAACGACATTATTGATGCGGAGCCGAAGGGCAACGTAAAGTTAGGCACACAGGAAATTCTCCCAAATGTCGAAAGCAACACAGTACACGCAACCAACAACAAGGACAACAATAAAACAAACTCAACAAACAAATACGAACACAGCCAGAACATAAACAAAGAACACCTAGATAACTACATCTATGATGATCATTACGGATACAATTTTAAAGAATTTTTTTTAAAGAGTAACATATTAGAAAAATCTATAAGCCTTATTTTAGAAAAAAGAGAAATTAGATTATCGCTAGTTGGACCCATAGAAAAAGACGATCTAGAAAATCCAAGAACCACCATTCTAACCATGTTCAGTCATTGTCTAATTGGAAATCAAAAGCTCCATAAAGATATCCTCTTCATTATATTAACAACGGATAAACTATTTGACAATCACAAAGAATTATTCTTAGAATTACTAGCTGTTCTTAAGTATGACTACTTAGATGTGTACCTAATGAACATCAGAAAAATAATATCAGCTGAGGTTCTTGCTTTAAAAAGTAAAATACAGATGTACGATTCCCAACTCATCAACATTAGTAAGCTTTCCTCCTTGGACATCATCAGCCCGAGGACTAGCATCTCCTCCATCGACTTGGACAAGGAAGAGGGGCACTCCAAACAGTACACATCGCGCCATCCCGACAAGCGAGACGTAGAAGTACCACCACCCACATCCAGTTTCGAAAGTTTGGACAGCCAACCAATTTACGCACACTCACTCGGAACAGCGAACAAAACAAACTCACCTAACCAAACCAATGAGGAAAATACATTCGAAACGGAAAGCAAATGCGAAAATGAAAACCCCCAAACGGAGCTCTACAAAGAAGACTGCAAAATGGAGTCCCCTGCAGATGAAAAAGAAATTATAGAATCGAACAAAATGCAGCAAATAAAAATATTGGCCTCGGCCAAACTGATAGAATTACACAAAATGCTACAAAGGATACTCCAACTAGCCACGGAAAATAGACAACAGAGGAAGGTAGAAATCAAAATAAAGTTAGAAGAGCTTAAGAAAATCATGGAGGTCTGCAAAAAGGATTGCGAAATAACACTGCACGACACAGAAGATTCAAAAGTACATATAGAAAATGTATACGTAAAGGAACTAGACCTAAAAACAAACAGTATCAACCAAGCACAACAACAAGTAGATCAAATGAAGAAGGATATAGAAGAACTATTAATAAAGAAAAAAAACATATTCAATGAATATCAACTTATATGCAATGAAATAAACACAATGAACAAACAACTATCTGAAGCCTTGTCTAACTTAACAAATTACAAAAAAGAATTAAATCAAACCGAAGTGGAGTACTTAAACAAACTCTCAAACACAAATAAAGCCAAACATATGCACCAGGAGAGGAAATTATATATATCTAACTTGGATAATATCTCGGATGAAATTTTAAAAGAGTATGAAACTTCGACCTACATAAGTACAGATGAGTTGGTTTCCAAAACGATGAAAATGAAGAAGCCCATAAACAAAGTTATTACTAACCATTTAATTTACTTGAAAGATAAACTTTGCTTACTAAATACATTATTAAAATTTTATGTCCAGCGGGTGAAGTTACTCATGGGGAAACAACACACAGAGGAAGAAGAAGCGCAGGGGCAAAGTACCGATGAGTGCATTCCTGCGGAAGGGTGTGACATGGGGGACACGCTGAGCCACTCCGCGAAAGACACGGCAAGCAACGCAATGGGAGACAACCCCAACTCCTTCGCCTCCTCAAACCATCAAGAACAGGATAAAAAACTAAAGCTGATCAAGTATAAAAAATGCTACTTCAAAATTATCGAGCAAATAAGCAAAGTCTGGGTTTCTATACAAGAATTTTACGATCTCAATACAGAAAACATAGACGATACTGAAGCCGACTGCCCCGCTGATGCTGTATATCAGCAGATTAACAATCTATACAATTGCAGCAAGCAATTTATCATGCAAAATGGCCCCATCATTTCGTCAATTTCATGATTCGCCAAATTTGAAGCGGCGATTAATCGGGGGTCGTGTGATGCATATCTGCACACCTACTGCTGCTCCGTCTGTGACGTCTATGTGTATACATATGTATACTGTTTATTCGCTGTTGGTACCTTATTTTGTTTCCCCCTTATTTTTACGTAATTTCTTTTTGTTGTACATCACACCCTTTTATTCATGCCCATGTTTTTTTTTTTTTGCGTAATTCATCCCGTTTTTCTCACTTGATCCATCTCCATCCCTTTGAGGGAATATCCTTCCACACGTATACAACACAACACCGTCTGAAAATTTGAACAAACGAATGTAAAGCATGATGCATATACGTTCAACTCAGTGGTACCCGTTTTTTCCTTTTTTTTTTTTTTTTTTGTGCCTTTTTTTTCTTTTTTACGACTGCCACTTTACCAACAAATCAACTTTAAGTTCCAGCCAATGATCCTCCATTTTATGACTCTATCCGATATGTGGTGCGTAAATGGGGTCTGTGCGGGGTCTTGGCCCTACTTGGGAATTAAGCTACAGCTCACAACGGTGCATACCGCCATGGTGGTAAAGTGACCAAATAGCAGACTGGCCAACTGCAAACACCTTTGCGAGGTCACATTTACGCCACCATTTGATGGGCGAAATATGTAGCCAAAATGATGACACACGTACCAAAAGTTCCGGAAAAATATATGCACACAATGTTAACAACAGGGGTGTACAAAATTACAACGAACCTTTCTTCATTCTTAATAAGTATGCAACAATGTTACTTAAACAAACTGTCACAAAGGAACAAACGACATAAAATTCCCACTAAGTATGCCTCACCTTAAGCTACCAAAGGCAAAAAAAAAAAAAAAAAAACACAACTCTACATATGTCTGTACATAAACACCATACGTGAACGCACCTTCAATTTTTTCATTTTCCAAGTGGTTCACACGTTAAACATTGTGGTACGTAGTATGTTCACTTTTTTAAGCCCGGAATAAAAAAAAAAAAAAAAAAAAAATACACAAAAAATACACAAAAATGAAGGAAAAAAATTAAATAAAACAAACACTAAATAAAACATATGCAAAATGATTTTTTAAAACAAAACGCACAAATGATAAGAAAGAATTTACGCTTTAACTTAATTTCCGCATAGCAGTTCATTTTCCCGTCCAGGTGACCAATTTGCGTGTATGCATCCTAGTCGAAAGTGAAAAGCGGAAGAGCGAGCCCGCCTGGCGGACGGGAACTTTTGCAAAATCTATGTTCGCGTGTACTGCATATCAGCACATCCGTTAAAAGAGGAAAAAGGAAAACGAAGCTCAGGAAACTGCGCCAAATTGTGCCAAGTCGCGAGATAAAAAAGGGACGCACACGATAAACTCGTACAGCTAGGAGCCTGTCACGCAAATGGACCATGAAAAAGAACAAAGCCACGGAAAACTATTACCTTAAGGAACCCCCATGTAACCATGGCAACAATGCGCTAAACAATTGCTCAAGCTATTTCGACATAAGTCAAATTAAACAGTTATATGCCCCCCAAAGCGGCAATGGATATGAACAGATTTTTTCCCTCCCTCGTAAAGTCAAGAAGACAGGGAGAAAAAGTAAAAAAGAAATATCCAACTCAAAAGGTGCCATTCTTTCATTCCACAGTGGTAACGACAAAACGAACAAAATGTATCAAATGAGTAGAACAACTGCCCATCGCTTCCCAAATGGGTAAAATAATAACTCTTTAACACACTCTCATTATGCTCCATCTCCCATACCATCCTGCAGACCAGTACCAAAATGACACAAAAAACCCAGTGCCCATAGCAATAGGACAAAGGAAAAAAATGAAATTGAACGCGCCGAATGAAGATCCCCAATTTTGTTACAGCAATACCTTTGACCAAACACCCAGAAAGCACTTCTCATTTAACCATACGGATCCACGAAATGACGAATCCCCAGATTTCTATTATCCTAGTGGCAGTGTTAGAAAAAGTACTAACAAAACGGCGAGTAGTAGAAACGGTTCATTAAACAAATATGATTTTATTAGGTTTGTTTGTTCTCCAACCAAAAAAAGTGTCGATAATAAAAGCGCAAAATGTGATAGTGAAATGTGCACCCCTGCGAAAAATAGCACCACCGGAAAGGACGCTTCCAAAAATGCCACAAAAGTGGACGCACAAAATGAGTCCAGTTTTGATCCCAAAGGGGGTGCAAAGTGTGGACAACATGTTGGTACACACGGGGCCACTAACAATGACACAAAGGAAGAACACAAAGGTGGCATAAATAACTACCCCCAAAGTGGCGCAATGAATTGCCCCCCAAATGACCAATACGATGGCAAAAACCAAAGCAGCGGAAGTGCACAAGAGAACACCCCCCAAAACGTGGCGCAGAACAACGGACTGATCGACCTCGATAGCCACGACTCCATCGACAGGCTTAGTAGAAACTTTTTCATAAACAACAAAAAGATTTTCATTACGCACTTTCGAAAAGACAAGGACGCACATGCTAAACGTGCCAGTAGTCATTCGCATGGAAAAGGTGGGAACGTTCCTCTTCGTTACGAGGCACCAGAAGAGGGAGGGAACAAAGAAAAAAATGAACACAACACATGTAGGGAAGATGCTGAAGAGGTAACCCCCCCAGCTGCTGAAACTTCACACTGGGGTCTCTTTACAAAAGTGAATTCCCCGAATTGTGAAGACTATGTTCAAAGCGTGGAGGAAATCCACGGAGTGGAAAACTGCATTGGAGAGGATTACTACGCAAGGGAAAACAAAGCCGAACACGACGCGTACAACGAAGATGATGAGCACCATAATTACGACACACGCAACTCCGACGAAGAGCCAGCTGATAGTAGCACCTTCCTGCCAGACATGAACTCCTTCGTGCGAAAAAACTGCAACGGGACAAAATCGCTGTACAGCCACCTGGACGTCCCCTACAATGGCAGCAAGGAAGAAATCAAAAAGTCATACAAGGAAAAAATAAAGGTGCACCACCCAGACAAAGGAGGAAGCATAAAGAAGTTTCTTCAACTCAAGCTCTCTTATGACATACTAACAAATGATAAAAAAAGAAAAATGTATGACAAATATGGACACAGCATATTAGAATTATTAGTGAGCGAAAAATTTCAAAACTATGAAATATGTTCATCTGATGGAGAAAATAGCGAAAACGAAATTGATGAGGAAAACGTAAAGATGTATGACTTGTTTGTGCAAAAGTACAACAACACATCGTACTTACACAACTTACAAGATTTGAAAATGGATAGCAATCAGTACAATGAATTTCAAAAATTAATTTTTCATTTCTTTCATCATGAGAATCCCATGTTTAACAACACCTTCCATTTATTCCCAGCCTACTCTCCCTCTGTCCCTCCGTATAGGAAAAAAAAAACAGACAAATCGAAAACAAATAAAATAAAGCAAGTTGAAAAAAAGGCAGATAAAAAAAAAATTCCTCATTTGGGATTATCAAGCAGCTTGGAGAATTCCCCTGACTGTTCTATCCGGACAAATGATCTGATCAGTTCTGGAGGAAGTTCCACATCTCGAAATCAGTCCCCCTCAAATTACAGCACAACAAAGGAATGCTCAATTTATGATTTACTAAGTACAGAACATATCACTAATCTGTTTAACGAGCTGGAGGATGACTTTAAATATTTTTACCAAAAATGCATCGTCCACAAAATAGAGCAATCAGAAATGGCTAACAACTCCAAGTATGGCAAAAAACGGGTCACAAAAATGGTTAACCCAGAGGGTGTACATTACATGGAGGGGAAATTCAACAGTGATGATGCCTCCACACCCATCAAGGAACATACACACCACCCCTTTGAACAGTCACCCTACGATGAAAATGTCGCCACTCCCCTAGCGCAGTGCCAACTCTCCCACGAAAAACACATCTCCAATCATTTCAACCGAAACGAAGACACACACTCTTTCCGAGATATTCAGACCTCCCCAATTGCGTACAAAATTATAAACGAAAATAACGAGAGACACATAACAGAGTTTTACAGGTGGTTTGAATTATTTTTCAATCACCACCAGGGGGCGCAAACACCCAGTCAACCGGCCAATGAAACTTCGAATGAAGTACCTAACCACGCAACGAAAAGCGATCACCTCATTTTTAGTGATATTCCCCCCAACTCGCAAAGTGGAGCGTCCACACCCACCGCTGCTCAACCCCCCAGGACACAAGAAGAAACACATGCAGCACAAACTAGCGAAACGGACGCGCAAATCAAGTCGGACCCATTTAGACCGTTTCAATATGGTGCCCAAAAATTCTGCTCCTTTGGGCAAATTCCTCATAGCAGTAGTGACACCCCGAATGCGCAAGTGAATAGAAATGCCCAATACGGAGGGAGCCCCGCGAAATTTGTACATGATAACAGCGCAAAAACCAAACATCACCACGGCGGAGGATGCACCCACTTCCAGACATACCCAAACGCAACACCAACGCGTTCAAACACCACTTCACAGAGAAGCGAAAGAAAAGGAGATAAGCCTAATACATCGCCAGAAAAAAACGCACACAAAATAACCCCATTGCGCACCAGCAGCACGAAGATAAAAGATAATAACCTGACACTCAATATTGAAGAAAAATATGGCTTCAATTTGCTAAAAAAAAGTGAACAAAAAATTAAAGACATAACACACGATTTTAATTACATATATATAGGAAGTAATATAATGAAGAAAAACAAATTTGTCCTTTTTGTAAAAGAAGAAAGTATAAAAAAGTTTTTAAAAGTTAAACTGCTCATCGAGAAAATTAAAAAAAAATCAAATTTGAAACTCATATCTGTATTCGAAAAGGAAATAGAAAAGAGCATAAAACATATGGAATATATTTTACTCCTGATAACACACAAAGATGAATTCCTTCCACTGAACGATTTTTATCTACTGGACAAAAATATTTTTACAAAAGATCATTATTGCATACCCCTATATATAAAAAAGAACAGCATAAGCAGACCGACCCATTTTCACATCAGATGGATTGTATACACCATACAATCACTCATCTTTTTTAATTTCTTTTTTAAAAAAGTTAATAAGTATATGTGTGCATTCCCCTTTTTTAATTACAAGTATAATTTAATCAAACATTTTTTGGACCATGAAGAAGAAAAAAACAATACTGTCCACCACCATATAAAAAATTTTTACATTTTTTTCCACAAGTACATCATCAAGAATAAGCAGCAATATTTGAAGTACTTTCCGCACTCCATCATTGTGCACTTAAAAAATGACGAATCGCCACATGATCAGAGTAAGAAGCCCGTGAGCGTAAACATGTCCTCCATTTTGGTGCTGACGTCGAACAAGCCTATACCCTCTGCGGAATGGTAAGGACACGCATCTATACATAGTTTGTAGTAGTACACTATTTGTACCAGTACATGTGTGCCTCGCCGCCATAGTACACCACGCAGTCGCCAAAAATATTCTGTGCTGCGTACAATCTTTGCCAACCCATTGGCATCCCCTCTTCACACACAGTGCTACACAATGCACGCTGAGCACTTTGCAGTGCGTCTCTTTGTTCAACCCACCCCCGTTGTGTACAAATTCGCGTCTCCATTTTTGTTACCAGGTGGAATAATAGCAGCATGCCTGATGGGCAATGCGCCTGTCCACCACTTTGTCATTTGATTATTTTTTTTTACCCCTCCTCTCTTTCCCGCTAACTATCATTTGCATCTCACTGCCGCACTTATTTTTTTATGACGCCAAAAGTGCGAATCTTAAAACTCATTGTTTTGTGATGCCAGACGGGGTCTCGCCATTAGCACCATGGAGACCCACTCCCCATTTAAGCGCAGACATTGACGCACAATTGTGTAATGCGTACTGCCTTAATGGGTACATCTTTAAGGCGCACTTCTTTAATGCCTTGGAGGGAACGTCCTCTACCATGATAGTACAAAAGCGAATGCCATGGCGTTTTGCACCCTCATCTGTGTTACCCGTCCTGGTTCAGTCTAACAGAGGTCAGCAACCCAAGCTGCCATATCATCATATTTAACGTTTCCCCAAAAAAATTACAATTTGTACACTTTCCCCCCATAGAACGAATCACTTGCGCGTTGCCCAAAACAAGTCAAATGCACTGACATAGTGGAATACTGTCTTGTGTAAAGCACCACGTGTCCTCATCCCATCCGTGCTGCTTCCCCTCGCAATGTATACGTAACACGGCTTCGTACAGCCCATCCACAGGTATTCAAAGCGGCTCCACGTTTTTGCTGCTGGACAGGAAACCAAACGCTTAACCCATATGATACCATCCGCCGGATGCATCATCCATTTTGGCCTGTTCCGCATCTCATCCCATCCGCAAGGAGAAGGATGGGAAAAGCTTATACATATCACTCACCAGCAAACAGACGAAAATATCCTACTCCTAACAGACAACTGCATAATTCATCAGTGAAGGAACTTAAAACAACTTTACATATACATGTTCTGGAGATCACGTAGGATGTGAGAAATGCATTTCCGTTTGCTCATTCAGGGAATTACCACCTCAAACCATTATACAATTCAACACATCTCCATTCGTTTGTTGGGTATGTTCCTTTTTATAACCTCTTGCACGCACTGCCAGTAACCCTTTCCTGCCCAATGACACGCTTATGTCTCCCCCACAGGAATATGTTCATGTATATTCTATGCTTATGCTCCGCATATACGCCATTTTTTCTAAAATTTCGAGGCAAAGCTCAGAAGGGTCAAAATGGGGCTAACCCCAAGCGCTTTCGGGTGAAAGTAACCGGGACGCTGACCGCAGGGAGGGAAAAGGCAAAAACTGTGCCCCAAAAGTAAAGTCCCCAAAATGAGCGCAAATGGGAAAGGTTAAGGGAAAAAAGCAAATTCGCAAAAATAAAAATAAATATAAAAAATCTTAATTGTCAACAATATCAAATTATTGAACAGCGAAAAGGCCCCCAGAAAAAAAAAAACGGCTGAGAAGCACAAATAGAAAAATTAAAATGTGGGGAAAAAAAAAAAAAAAAAAAAAAAAAAAAAAAAAAAA